CGCGCCCCCGCGGCCCCCCCCACCCCGGTTTCCTTTTTAAAATGGAGACTTTACTCCTGCCCCCCCCACCCCAGTAGGTGGCGGAAGTGGGGTGCAGTGGGGGGGGTGTGAATCAACAAAAAAAGGGGGGATGTTTGGTCAAGTTCCCACCAAGGGACCTGTTTTTGGGCTGCGCTGGTCGGTTCGAAAGACGTCCTCGGCCAGCCCCCCCCCCCACCAAAGCGGCGAGGGGGGGCCCCTGCTGGCAGTTGGGTGGGGCTGAGAAGCGGTGAAGGGGTGCTCTGAGAGAGTCTCCGAAAAGACGGGCGCAGATTGAAGAGCGGGGGGGGACCTTGCTTGCCCCTAATAATCAGCTGCAGCGTCTCCTCCCCCACCCCGAAAAGGGAGACCAGATCTCATCTCCCTCCTCCCCCGACCCCTCTTTAATCTGCGTTTCTTTTTTGGGGGGGTGGGGGGGTGCAGTTCCAACCCCCCCTCTTTGTTTTAATAATATTTTGCAGTTTAAATGTAAATAAATAACGTGGACCCTTTTGCGTTTGTACAGGAGAATGGAGCTGCCCTCTTTTCTATTTGGGGGGGGTGTCGTGGGGCTTTGTTGCCCCTGGAGGTGGAGGCAGATGCCCCCGGGCACTCACAAAGGGGGGTGGGGGAGCTGGGGCTTTGGCCACAGTTGTCGCCCAGACGCGAGCCCTCGATTGGGAAACGGCGAGGTTTGCGTAGGACCTACTGTAAACATCCCATCCCACCTCCTTGTCGCAGCTCACAAAGCTCCAGCAACTCTGCTCCCGTGTTTCAGGCTGGACCTGATTGGAGAGGCCACTGGGGGAGCTTAGATGAGCCATGTGGCCGCTCTCTGCCTCAGTTTCCTTTCGGGACAAGGGGTGTGGTAGGAGTACCTGGGAGAGACCAACTCTGCCCGTAGGGAGGGGGAAGCAGTGGGGGTCTCACGAGTCTCGTGTCTGTCCAGCCCCTGCGGCTCCCCAGTGCACAATGGGCTGCTTCCAGCAGCCCCCCACTCCCCTGCCTAGTCCCCCACTTTTCCCTCCCCTGCCTAACCCCCACCTTTCTTCCGTCTCCCTTCCCCCATTTCCAACCCAACTCCCCATCCTTCTGACGCTCCCCTTGCTCCCCCCTCCCTGCCCCCATCCCTCATTGATTCCCCTGACACCCTCTTTTCCCCCATTGACTCTCCTGCCCCTATGCTTCCCCTCCCCGCTCCCTCTAACCCACCTCCCCTTTGCCTCCTTCTGTCCCCCTCTCCCTAACTCCCCCCTTTGCCTCCTCTCCCCCTGGGCCTCCCTCTTCTGACCCCCTCCCCTCTTCCTCCTCTGACCCTCCCACTGCCTCCCCCTCTGGCCCCCCTGCTTCCTCCTTTTCCCCCTGACTCCCCTCCCCTTTTTCCCCCTGTGCCTCCCCCTTCTGGCCCCCCTTTCCCTCTGACCCTCCCGTGCCCCCTCCAGCTCTGACTCCCCTCCCCCACCCCACTTTCCCCCCTCTGACTCCGCTCCCCTCCCCCTTTTCCCCCTGTGCCTCCCCCTTCTGGCCCCCCTTTCCCTCCTCTGCCTCCCCTCCCCCACCCTTTCCCTCTGACCCTCCCGTGCCCCCTCCTGCTCTGACTCCCCTCCCCCCTTTCCCCCCTGTGCCTCACCCTTCCCCCTCTGGCTCCCCTCCCTCACTCCCTTTCCCTCTGCCCCTCCCCTTTTGGCGCTCCTCCCCCTCCCTTCCCCGTGACGCCAGCACGCTGCGTGCCGCGCTGACACGTGCGGGTGGGGGAGGGGCGCGCGCGGGAAGCGCCCCCGCAGCCTCTTCCTCCACCCGCCCCGCACAGATGTGGAGCCGTCTCCGTCACGTGACGGGGGAGGAGGTGGAGGTCCGTCGCACGCACGCAGCGCCGTGACGTAGCCGCGCACAGCGGCCCGCGTAGCGTAGAGACGAGACGGTCCCAGACAGAGGGCGGCTCGCGCGCGCGGGGGGCCGCTGCGCTCCCCTCTTCCCTCCCCCGCGGGATTGATTCGTTCCCGTCCGGCCCCGGCGGCGGCGCAGGCGCGCTGGGCTGGGCCGGGCCGGGCCGGGCCGTACTATGGCGGCGGCCGGCGCGGGGGGAGCGGGCGAGACCAAGGTGATCTACCACCTGGACGAGGAGGAGACCCCCTACCTGGTGAAGATCCCGGTGCCCGCCGAGCGCATCACGCTGGGCCACGTCAAGGCGGCGCTGAGCCGGCCCGGCGCCAAGTACTTCTTCAAGAGCATGGACCAGGACTTCGGGTACCGGGACCCAGGCGTCCGGGAGACCCCTCCCCCCCAGGGGGGAACCCAGGCGTCCGGGAGACCCCGCCTCCTC